CCGGATTTTAGCTAGTATCCGGCCGGATAGTCGGATAACAGAAAAACTGAAAAACCCTGAAATAAGGGCGTGTCCTGATATATCTGGTCTGGTCACCCTAGGTAACGACATAGTGCTTACCATAATGACAAGATTTCCTCTATCCGCCACTGGAAACGCGACTGTAGTGCTATGTTGAACTCGACCAAAGTGGAAATCGACGTTGTTTTCGCTGACCTTTTTTGCGCGTAATATATATAAAATAACTTTATTTATTTAGAGTATAGCATAAGCACCGCCAATAATATAACCCTGGACATCAAACAAAGAAAACCCCTTGCCAACAAGTTTTATTAGGGGCTTGGTAGGGAATTGAACAACAGAAATATAACTCTTTCTAAACGAAAAAGACCTATGCTCTACAAATCTCTTATCGCGTCCATCTTTCTATGCGGTGCAGAAATGGGAACAATGTCGAACAAAAAATGAAAAAACTTTCGGGGCTACCGCGATAACTACTCTACGTAAGATCTAACAACCAATTCGCTTATATTATGAGTAACGAAATATGTATATAAAATGATAAACGATGAGACTGTTGAACACTTTTTGTACATCTGGGCCTATTTTAGAATTAGCTACGAAGTTTGGAGCTCAAGTCTTGAACGATGAATTGCTAAGCTCCTTGATACCCAGCAAACTACTTCATACATGAAACTGCTTGTCAAAGAAATGTCTAGAAATTAAATAGGTACTGGTCGCTTCATTTTATTTCCGGCAGCTTTATTTTTTACCATCCAAGATCATTAGTTCAAAACGAGCACTGGTGAACAATGAGTTTTGCGGTTACAAGACCATCACGTAAAGTAATTAAAACATTTATTTATTCGATTAACTGTATTCTATTACAATTCAAAATTAATGGTGGTTATTATTTCACACTTGCAAAATATAAATTTGCACATAAACAGCTTTTTGAAAGTTCCATAGCCTACGGCGTTTGGTACATTAGTTGCAAATACTTGGACAACTGATCACCACATTGTCCGCGTCTGTAAAAAATTAACAAAATTTATCAGAAATACAGGTAGACAATAGCGTTTTATTTACAAACCCATGTTTGTACCAAGAAGGATAGAATACAAGATTACGCCAATGAGNGAATCAGGTACTAACAAAAATAAGTAGGTAGTGGAGTTCCTGTATCTACTTACTGTAGAAACTGCTTTTGCCATTGCCAGAAAACTAAACCAGCAACTGTCTACATTCACCATGGAAATGTACCTACTACAATTCACCAAGGAAAGGCCAACATGATTCCATGTAGAAGCTCATAGTTCATACACATAGCACAAAGCTCGATTTGGTGTTTAATGCATCTCCTCGCCGGCAGAACTGCTTCCACTTTTTCGCCAGGTTTTCGTCCGTAGGGAACGAAAAGAAACTTATATCGCACGCATTCCTTTTGTTTTCACTATTACACTTTGCCACTGCACACTTCCTTTTGCTTTGAAATGTTTCAATAATTGGTTTTTTCGTATGCTCACAATCAACAATTGCACCAAGATGACGTCACGCACACAGCTGATTCTGTCAAAATCACAAAGAGCGGATTAGCAGTACCGCGATTGGCGCAATCTCTATTTCTCTCATTCGTGTGTTTGTACGACTATGCATGTAAATACATATGTAAATATGCATGAACTTACCATGAGAACCGCATAGAAAGCACCGATCGTCGAACCAGCTAATACGTCCGTCGTATGGTGCTGGTAATCGGAAACACGTGTCAAACTAGTGTACCATGCGAACATAACGAGCAGAAATTGCATGAAATGTTTAACCATCTTGCAACGTTCCCAACTCATGCGCTTCTGCAAATATATCTGCAGCATTGCAAAAAAAAGAGCGAACAAGAATACATATATACATAATTACATTTTAAAATATTAGTAATTCCATTGAACATAAAGCTTTTAATTATACCGCCATGTAAATCATAGTGAAGCACGCGAAGCTGGCATGCGCACTGGGGAAGGAAAGACGCATATGCTTGAGCATACGTGGAGTGGCACTTCCAGAGCAAGTAAAATCCTCCACATAGCGTCCTACATTCAATGCATTGTTGCAACTACTGCCGTCGGCCAAAATGGGCTGGCAAACCTATTGAAGGAAAGAAATAGAACAAATGGCAAACATGTATACTTGTACATATGTATGTATTGTACGAGTATTAAAGCGAAGGTACACAACATGCGTTCGCCGGCAAATGCGTCACGCCGTCAATGTCAAATAAAATTGAACACGTGTGTTTGTATGACAGGTGTTACAGACGACGCCGTTACGAATGCGTTAACGCAGTTGCCGCCGAAAGTAAACCAATTCGCTACTTTTCTTTGCGTTCATGCGTTGACATTTGAAATTACATTTGTGGATATGCTTAAATATCAGCTGTTTTTTGTTTACAAAACAATGAGCGGCACGACGCAAGGTGTGTAACCAGTGTTGCCATCTTTTGAGTTTCAAACAGCACCAAACCTTGGAAAAAAGAGCGTTTTACCGCACTAAAAGCACTAATTTTTTTTTAATCAAAGGATACTTTTTTTAATAACAGTTTGTGGTAAACAGAAGTAAAAAATAAAATTATAGTTTAAAAACTAACACCACGCTATTATAATTTCCATTCGTACTGTCAGCAGGTATGTAACTTGAGAATAGAAATCGCTGCATCTTTTAGGCGCATCAATATTACATAGTTACATCCCGAGCTAATAAAAGGGAGGTAATAAACAATATTTACATGTATAAATAAATACACATTCATGCTTGCGAAGTAATACCGAAGTACTGCACATTAAAACTGGTACATATGGAGAAAGAACAATCGAATTGCAACAAACGAAATTGAATTTTGAAGGGGAAGAGTAATACTTAATGATACCCTAAGCGAAAAAATTTGTTGCTTTATAATAAACCGTGTTTTTACAGTTAGAGGTTAGGATATCTCAAAATTCTGACGTGGTAGAGAAATTCTGCAACCAGATTTGGATTCAGCACCGAAAAATCAACAAAAACCGATGAACTCAGGTGGCAGAAAAAGTTAAAAGGTTTCGAACTGTGTAATCAATCAATAAAAAAATAAATACTTAACTTATCTGCGTGCTAGCATTTTCAACGCGAATGCAATTTAACAAGAACGCAAGAACGTGGGTTTGTAACTTAATCTTTTTATCAATCATGGTTTGCAGTTTAGTGCATTTAAATTTGTAAATTCTTGTAAAGTCAGAAATTTTAGTGCTGAAAAAAGCACTAAAAAGGGCACTAGGCACTAAACCATTTTTTTGGGCGTTTTAATTTTCAAAAAGCACTAAATTAAGCTGGCAACTATGTGTTTAACAGCAAATTTTTCAACGTCGTCAACGGATCAACGCTACGCCGCAGCAAATAAAATTATGTACCTTCGGCTTTACTCATAATTGTCTTTTAATTATATCGCAAAGTGTTGGAGCTTGAATTCCTAAATATGGTCCAAAAATGCGTGTGAAAAAGTAAAGTCGGAATTTTTATGCTCGCACCCCTTAGGATTGTTCTTTACAATAGAAGACTTTCAATAGTAATACCCAATTGTTTATTTATTCGTTTTTTAATACTAACGATATTTTATTGGTCCCCCCATTGCATTTCTCAGGGCTTTTGGGGGTTTTCGGCGGACCCAGAAGCTATAAATAAACAATTGGGTATTATTGTTGGGAATCTTCTGCAGAGAAACAGAGGTTTCCGAACGAAAAATATTAATTTTTAAGAATTCGATACCATTTCTACGAAAAGTGTTTTTCTCATATAAAATACATGGTGAACTTTGAGCAACCTCTAAATATTTTTTGATTTATTTCTAAATAAAAAATAGGGGTATATCTTTTTCGATATTCAACAAACCTAGGGTGTGAGAGCATTAAAATTCGGACCTCACTAATTTTGGACCACCCTATTGCACATATGTATGTATAGATTCGTTTTGACTGACTGCTTGGTGACTTCATGGTAGTGCTAACTAATTTATACTTCCAGAAATGATCTTGGCGGACATTGAACGTAAACTGTTCAAACTGTTGTTTGTTAGGAAACCAAACATTAACAAAGTCAGGTGGTTTGTTTTCTTTTTTCTGTTTATGCAAAGGATTGCAAATGTTCTGTGCATTAAATGTTTCGGCTTTCCTTTCATTTTGGAGAGGTTGTTAACTTATAAAGCTTAGTATCCAGCTCTTAGGAAAACGGTCAAGCAAAAAATTGGCATTATTTCGTGTGTGTGAATAGTAGTGTCCAAGGAATTCTGACATCTGATATTTGACCGCCTGCTGTCTCACCCTTTCCTCACGAATTAATGGAACAGGCATACATTTTTGTTGCAAACATGGGTTTCCTTGTGCTTTTTGTTCACAAGAAACTTTAGAAAAGGGTAGTAGCGTAGCGTAGCAAATTTCTGAAGAACTGCGTACTGCCTAAAGGAAATTTGAAAAAAGAAATTTCTTCGAGACTTCTTCGGTGTTTTTTATATGGCGTTTTTGCCTTTCTTGAGAGCTGGGCACTAAGCTAAAGAGAGGAGCTCCATTAACCAGAAAGAACTGTATTCAATATCTGTTATTTGAAGAGTTTCAGAATAGCAATTCACGCAGTTTTTAGTTGGTAAATAAAGTTTTAAAATAAACGACAAGATGAAAAAACTATTCTGCATGAAGTGAGCTTTGTTTGAAAGCTGTTTGGCGTTCTTGACTTACGGCAAAGAAATGCGGGCGCAAACGACCAATCGAATACTTGGCAATATCCATCGTTAGTTGGCCTACTCCCGAACCGAAAATTAATAGACCAATTTTTTTGTAGCCCTCCACTATCCAGTCTGCAATATCTAACCGTCCAATGGAATATCGTTCGGAATTCATAGCACGACCATGAGTTCGATTGTAATGCGAAACGAAAAACTCTACTGTCGTAATCTGAAAGAAAAATTATTGCATTAGTGAACTAATAATGTTTTTGTTTAAATTTTTAATGTTGCCGTTATTTAGGTTGTCGTAAAAGTTTGCCATACTTAAATAAGTTCAGCAAATTTTCTAATTAGTCTGTAACAGCGTTCGGATTTTGCTTCAATCAGAGTCTGTTTACAAGTTATTTCTTTCAATTTCTTATCATTTGTTGTATTGCTAAAAAAGAAAGTTTTCAGAGTTAAATCCCGAATGTAAATTATAAAGGCTGGGTACTTATACTTATATATATATATACTTATATTTTTATAGCATTCAATTATTTGTTATTGCAATTAATTAGGAAGATTACAATATTTATGATTCATACAAAAACATTATAAACGCATTTTCGGAATAAGTATTTGCAGCAAGTACCTACTATTTGGAACTTACGTACATATGTCGTGTAGATGTAAAATGTTTGGCCTTGAATAAGTACATATGTACATATACACATAAATATGTAACATATATATTTTTCTTATACATACATACTGTAATCAAATTCTTGCCTTAAAATTTGATTGAAAATATGTAAATTTACCATTTTATAATTTAGACACAAAAAAATAATATATGTAAGCATGATAAAAACATTACAAGGTAAATTCATTCTCTCATTTCGTCGGCCATGATTTTTTTCTGACGTTTGCCAACATTTTAAAATCATATAAAATTGAAAATACAAAAATTAAATTGTTCACAATTGTTGTTGAATGAAAATGAGAATGTTGTGTGAGTTTGAGTTTTGATTTTAAAATTATATTGTTGCAAACGTCAGACTGCCTCTCAATGGTTTTACCTTGTTATGTTTTTATCATGTATGTAAGTCTGTTACGAAAACTCCGTTTCTCCCGATTTTTATGTCATTTGCACTGCACTGATTTTCCTAACGCTGCACATACGCGTATTTGAACGGTCTAGGCGGCCATGAGTCAATTTGACAAAATTTTAGAAAAAAATAGTCACATTCGATCCGAAAAAACCTTCTCAGCTTTTTAACTTGTACAGCGAACGTTGACTTTTGACCGGAATTAGAGTTNTTCTCAGCTTTTTAACTTGTACAGCGAACGTTGACTTTTGACCGGAATTAGAGTTCGAGTATTCTAGGGCTGGCAAGAAGTCCGGAAGCACACAAAAAGTTTTTGGATACCGTATTCATGTCTAGCGACCTCATATTTATTAGCATGAAAAACATAATTTTTCTTATAAACTAGTGTACTATATTCTATTTTCCGAATTTCGGCATATTTTTTGACACTGTCCTCTTTTATGTAAATTTTCACCACTGGCATCCCATGACCTCTTCAATAAAATACACATTGCTTGGACAGCTTTGTTAGGAGTTTTCAAGAAAATTTTCGCTAGAAATCTGTAATCAAGATATTTTCAATCGGCAACTTTTGAGTTGAGATCCTCAGGCCAATGTATGTATTGAGGAAAAGTGAACTCATTTTGCTCTCTTTATACCGGCAAAATCTGAAATTTTGTTTTCATTCTTTGTAATAAAACTCACTTTCTTCGCAAATATTTTGTCTCTTTTCTTTTAAATGTATTTATTTCATTAACATTTACCCTCCATTATTTATTTGATAGAAAATAAATTGAATAAGTATGTTAAAATTATAATATATTTTATAAATTCTAAGAAAATAAACCATATCCCTTTATGATATTTTTTGAAGTACAGAATGCGGGTTAAATAAAAGTGTTGAATTGGTTATGCACAAGGTATATTAAACAAGGTGTGATTGACAACTCAGTGCGGCTCTCTTTTAGGGTACTATAATGTCAAAAAGTATAAACAAACGAATTAACCCTTAGTGATACATTACCTGGAATATATATATTTTGTTAATAAAATAAAACAAATTGTTTATAATATCGTTTTGGCAATTTTCTTGTTTTTAATTGCCCTAGTTTTATGCCTTTGTGCGTTTA